GAAGAGTCTCCCGACTTTCCCAGGCAGCCCCGCGCAGACGGTCTGTACGTCGCTGCCGGCCTGCTGCGGGCGCGCCGGCCGGGCGCGACTCGGCTCGGGTCGGGAATGCCGCCCTACAGGCGGGCTTTGGACAAACATGGTCTGAAACATACATCAAACAGAACAGAAGACAAACGGAATAGAAACAAGAAAAAAATATGGACGACAAAAACAACATAGTCTGAGACATACAGTAAACATAACAAAAGACAAACGGAATAGAAACAAGACAAACAAATGAACGACAACAACATGCATCCATAAAAAACAGAATCCGCCGACCCTGTCGGCGTGTGTGAGGGGCTTTTCCGTTCGAGCCGTCATCTCCGTCATTCTTTGTAATCGTCGTCTCTGTCGTTCCCTTTCCCTGGTACCCCTCTTCCCCTGGGCTCCTCCCCGCTCCCCTCGCCCTTTCCCAGGGCCTCCTCCTCAAGCGCGCTAGCCAAACCGACCTTCAGCAACGTCGTAATTGATTCGAAGGGAAGCCCCTTCCCTTTCCCTTCCCCGACGGGGGGGGGAGGGGGGGTCCCGGGGGGGGTCCCGGGGGAGTCCCGGGTCAGATACGACGCCCCCCCCCCGTACCGACCTTGAGCAACGTCGTAATTGAGTCGAAGGGAAGCCCCTTCCCTTTCCCTTCCCCGACGGGGGGGGGAGGGGGGGTCCCGGGGGGGGTCCCGGGGGAGTCCCGGGTCAGATACGACGCCCCCCCCCCGTACCGACCTTGAGCAACGTCGTAATTGAGTCGAAGGGAAGCCCCTTCCCTTTCCCTTCCCCGACGGGGGGGGAGGGGGGGTCCCGACGGGACCTTGAGGTCGTCGAAGGGAAGCCCCTTCCCTTTCCCTTCCCCGGGGGAGTCCCGGGGGGGGTCCCGGGGGAGTCCCGGGGAAGTCCCGGGTCAGATACGACACCTCCCTCCCCCACCTTCTCGTCCTTCTCCCCGTTCCCCAAAACCATCCCACAGCCCGTGCCTCTTGCTGCGCATTGCGAACAGGGTCGGCGGCACCGGCCGTAAGGCCTTCGCAATATGAACATGTTTTTAGAGAATCGAGACATCGTCTTCAGACGATTTGTTTTGAAAGTTTTGAATGCTCCTCCTGTATCGGGCGTCGGCAGAACTGGGTTTAGCGGAACCTGGTTTAGTGATCTGTACGGGGGGCGCCCCCCCCGTCCCATTTCCACTAGCTGGAACTGCCGTCACCCGAAAAAGCAAAAGCTATGGCAACCCTGGTTTGGTGATTCCGGTGAATTCAAAGGCTCTGGGGCCCTACCACTAACCGGGTCCCCTTACCCGGGGTCCTGGCCATACCCGACTGTAGAGGTTGGCGGCGCGCACAAGGGGGTGGAGGGAGGGGGGAGGGGTTCTCAGAGGGAGGCTGCTTCTTAGAAGGCGCCGGCCCTACATCTGTAGAGAAGGCCCGCGCCTTCTAAGAAGCAGGGGTGCTTCTAAGGAGCCCTCCCCCCTCCCCCCACCCCGAGGAGGCTCGAGGGAGGTGAGGCTCGAGGGGGAGGAGGGGTAGGAGGAGGAGGAGGAGGAGGAGGAGGAGGAGGAGGAGGAGGAGGAGGAGGAGCCATACCCGACTGTAGAGGGGCGTGCCCGACTCACGCCTCGGCCTCGCGAGGAGGCGCCGAGCGCCGAGCCCCCCGCCGGCCGAGGCGGGGCGCTCGCGCGGGGCGGCCAATGGGCGGCGGAGGGCCGCGGCGCCCCGCCCGCCGGGAGAGGCGCCGGGCAGTGCGGTCGGCGCTCGGGGCCGGGCTTTAAGTCGGGCGTGTCCCTCTCTACAGGGGGATCTTGGGCGATAACTTCAAAATGCCCCCCCCCCAAAAAAAACAAACATATCCCCAAAATGCCAAGATATCCCCCCAAAAAAATACTCCAAACATTAGAAATAGTTGTGCGAAAAACTACCCCCAAAAAATACACCAGAAATACCCAACAATAGTTGGGCGAAAAGTTAAAAATACCCCCAAAATACTCCAGAAATGCCCAAACAGATTCAGAACATAGTCCCCAGACTATGTTTGGCCTATTTTTGAAGATTCCCCCTATAGAGGGACAGGCCCGATTTAAGCCTGGCTTTAAGTCGGGTGTGTCCCTCTACAGTAGACGAGCGTGTTCGAGGGGCAAAGATAGGGGGGGGATAGGGATAGGGGGGGAAGCATCGACCTGGAATCGGCGATACATCGCCTACAGATCGGCGATAGGCTTCCGATAGTGAATCCGAACCTTCCTCGGCAGTTTGGGGCTATCGGGCCCCTATCGGCGATCAATGGGCGATTGGGGGTCGATGCATCCCCCCCTATGCCTATCCCCCCTATCGTTGCCCCTCAGTTTTCCACTTCTCGCAAAGTACCTAATTACTCGCAAATGGCCTGGAACTGCCGCGGGGGATCTAAGATGAGTCACATCAAGGCAGGCATGTGCTTTTCGAGCGTGTGCGCGCAGGCACTCTGCGAGCAGCGGAACGCGCTCGGTGATTCCGGGGGAAGGCTCAGAAGGGGTCCCCGAGAACAATGGTCCGGGGACGGTTTGCCGACAACTCTTGACTCCTCTGGGGCCTGTGGTTCTGGGCCTGTCCTTCCCTTTCTCCTCCCGAGCCCGCCTGCAGCGGGGCATTGAGCAGGGACCGACCGTCCCGGCATTCCTATAGTCATACCACGAGATGTTCTTAGAACCCCAAAATGTTCTAAGAACAAAAACAGTGTTCTTAGAACAGAAACCCCACGTGTCAAACCAAGACCGTCTCGATCCGGAATGCTCCGAGAACATCCCGTGGAGACCACAAGAGGTTCTCAGAACACTGCTTGGCAGGGCTATGGGCGAGCCAGGACGCTTCGCCACTGCCTGAAGGGCGGCAGGCCCGACCCCAGACATGCGACGTCCTGATTATTTCAGGACGGCGTTCCTGGAAGTCCAGACCCTTTCCCCAGGACCGGCTTTTCGTCCTGAGTCGTTTTCTGACGCTCCCGAGGCCCGGCGAGGGCTCCCAGGGCCCGAAAATAGCGAAAAACCACCCGTCCTGATTTTTTCATGACGCGATCATGTCTGGGACCGAAGCCTGCCTGGCGGCCGGCGCCCGCCGCCGGGCGCTCCTCCGCGCGAGCGCGCGCGGCGGCGCCCGGCACGCCGGGGCCCTGCCCAGCGGCCCTGGGGCCCTGCGGCGCCCGCGGCGCGCGGAGCGCCGGCGGGCGGGCCGCTGCGGGCGGGCGGGCCGCCCGCCGCGCTGAAGTCGGGCGTGTCCCCCATACAGGGGGATCGTCTACAAAAAATACCCCCTAAAAAAATACACCAAAACTATCGAAAAATGCTCAAAAAATAGTCCCCAGACGATTTGGGGAGCATTTTTGAACACCCCTCCTGTAGAGGGACGGGCCCGACTTAACGCCGCGCCGGTCCAACGAATTCTCGTCGGCTGCACACGCGGGACTGGCTATGGGCAAGAGTGGCCTCACGAGTGCGCGGCGCCAGGAGAGGCGCGGGGGAGCCACACCCCAAGCGCGCAGGGCGCTGCCGTCGCACCGCAGCATGCCGCCATCTCGAGGCCCCATGGTGTGCCCGCACCCAGGTCACTCTTACGTTTCTGTCGGGCATGCCCTCCCACAGGGGGGATTTTGGACAAGAAACAACAAAAAGTTGTCAAGAAATACTCCCAGGTGGTCAAGCATACTCGCCGACTCGTCCCCAGACTGCTTTTCGATTCTTTCTGATCTCCCCCCCTGTGGATGCGGACAGGCCCGACTATCAAGTCGGGCCTGTCCCCCTACAGGGGGATTTTGGACGAACAATAAAAAATACCCCCCAAATAATCCAAAAATAACTAGTCTGGGGACTATGTTTGGAATCTTTTGTCGACCTTTTTGGGGTATCTTTGGGGGGCATCTTTGATTCTTCGTCGAAGATCCCCCTGTGGAGGGGGACACGCCCGACATAACCCGACTCCACCCTGCATGCAGCCGACCTCGGCTCACCCCGCCGGGGCCACCCCGGCCTCCGCGCACAGGCGCGCGAGGCGCGAGGCCCCGCCCGCGGCGCCCGGCGCCTGCGCCAGGAGGTCCCCGGGCGCGCCCGCCTCTGCAGGAGCCCCAGGACACGCAAGGAAACACACACAGATATCACAGGATTCCCCTGTATTTTCCCATATTTCCTGGGTTTCTGTCTTCCCCCCCGCTTCCCCTATTTTCTCACGCTTTCTTGAAAATCGGCGATTCATTGTGTCAGTGTGTTTCTTTCCCTCATGAGCCTCCACGACGCGGCCTCCGTCCATGATCGCCACGAGCTCGAAGCGGTGGATGTGCTGCAGGCGGTGGCAGAGCGTGGAAGAGGAGAGGCAGCGGCAGAAGCATAGGCTTTTGGCGCCCCGCGCGGAGTGCTCGGATCCGCGCCGGACCCCCTGGCGCGCGGAGCGCGTCAGGGGCGGCGCCGGAGGCGCCGCTGGTGGGGGGGGGCTCAACGCGGAACCGAGAAATCCGCGCGGAGCGCCAAAAGTTCATGCTTGTGGCGCTCTTTCTTCTTCGAGATCATCACCACGGTGGTGGGCAGGCCAAGCAGCACGTCGTGCACCCGCTGGTCGGCCACCAGGTCCACGCTGGCCGTGGCCTCGTCGCAGAGCAGGATGCGCGGCGGCTCCCAGGTGGACACGAGGCTGCGGCCACGCGGCACCAGCACTCGAGCCAGCGAGAGCAGCTGCCGCTCCCCCACGGAGAAGTTCTGGCCGCCCTCCTGCACCCACGTGTCCAAGCCGCCGTCCATGCTCTTTACCTTCTCGTCCATGCCCACGACACCGAGGCACTCCCACAACACACCATCCTCTACGCTGTCCTCCCCCTGCATCGCGAGGTTACGCCGGAGGCTGCCCGAGACGAGGAACGCATCCTGCGAGACGACCCTCACCTGCGCTCGCAGCTCGCTCAGGGGCACGGCCGAGATGTCCCGGCCGCCTATGGACACCCTCCCGCCGACGAGGGGATACAGCCTGCTCAGGGCCGCGAAGAGGGTGCTCTTTCCGCAGCCTGTGCGGCCACACAGGGCCACCTTCGCCCCCGGCGGGACCCACAGGTCCACGCAGGTGAGCACCAGCGGCCGGTGGAGCTGGTACCTCAGCATGACGTTCTGCAGCGACACGCTCGCGTCGTGCGGCCAGCCCTCCAGGGGCTCCCCGGCGCTCACCTGGCGTCGCATGGCCGCTGCCTCCTCGCTCGCCGAGGCGCCCTCCTCCGACTCCAGCCTCATGTACTCTGCCACGCGCTCCACCGACACGAACTGCTTCTCCAGATTCGCCGTGTTCATCATGTAGTCCATCGCAGCGCGCTGCAGCTGACCCGCGTACAGCAGCACGAGGCCGACCTGGCTGGCCTTCATGTCCCCCGCCCCGGCCAGGACAACGCACACGAAGCCCGAGACGAAGAAGAGGGCGCAGCCCCACTGCGTGGTGAGAATCTGCGCCCACTTGGAGACCGCGTTGTTCCTGGGGAGACCCTCGGAATTCGATCCTCGAAGCTCGATTCTCGGAGTTCGATCCTCCCGGGATCCTGCTCCTCCGCCGCGCCGGCGAAGACGACGAGAACGACGATCAACATCGCCAGCAAGCGTGATCAACTCCAAAAAAAACGTGCGAAATCAACACATGTGTTTTCGTTCCCGCCCTCCCCCAAAACACCGCGCTCTGCCCTGGGGAAGCCGGAACCTACCGACGCCGCTGCTCCCCGGACCTCTCCTGGGGGGGAGCGCTCCGACCGGAGCTTCGGGTCGAACCCAGCTGTGGCGACGAAGGCCTCCCAAAGGTCCAACAGGGCAAAGGTGGAAGCCAGGGTAGCGTTAGCTCGGGCATGTCCCCCTACAGGCAGATTTGGAACGAAACACAAGCAATAGTCAAAAAGATTCACAGATGCCCAGAAAATACGCCAAAATCTTCCCCATACTATTTGTTGACTACTTTGGAATATTCCTCCTGTGGAGGGACGTGCCCGACGTAAGGGTAGCTGTACCTGTAGCGTTTCCTCCCCGGAGCTCCCGTACTTGGCATTCGCCATCGCTGTGATGTGCCGGAGGTTCTCCCGCTCGAAGCGGGGCTCCGCCCCGAAAGCCCGCACGGTCTCGCGCCCCAGCAGCGTGTCGCCGAAGTGCGAGTACACCGGGCTGTGCGCGGCGCTCTCGATGCGCCGCGTGTCCCGGTTGGGCACCCGCATCCGGTTGAATATCATCACGTAGGGGACCAGCAGGAAGGGCAGCGAGACCAGCACCCACGGGGCCTCCACGTAGATCAGGGACAGCTGGGTGATGATGTTCAGCGTCCGCAGGGTCTGGTCGGAGATGCACTGCGGAACGGCCTGGTCGATGTTCTGCATGTCCTGGAAGAACCGGTTCATGATACGCCCGGTGGGCGCGTTGTCGAAGAAGGACATGGGGGCCCCCACGAGCCTCCGCAACATCTCGCTGTGCACCTTCCGCGACGCGGCCAGGGAGCAGACCGTCAGGATCAGCGTCTGGAAACACCCCACCGATGCCCCGCCGACGCTGATCAGCGTGTAGATCAGCAGGTTCCGCTCTTCGTCCTGCTGCGACGACGCTGCCGCGCTGTTGGTCCAGATCGAGAGCCATACATTCGAGGCGATTTCGAACAGCGCCCCGGCCACCAGCAGCACGAACAGCAGCGAGATCGTGAACCACGACCCGAATACGCTGAGGTACGCCTTCATGTCCGTCAGCGTGACGCCGCCCTGGCGCATGGCCTCCATGGCCTCGGACTCGCTTTTTTGAAGATGGGAGCGTACAGCGGAGGCCAGTCCACAAGAAACCTTCCACAAGAAACCCATCCCCGAGACCCAAAGACGTCCATGGACCTCTGGCGTGGCACCGCCACGCCTGCCATCGCCAACCCGTCGACGCCCACGAAACCCGGGGCACCCTGCGGGCCAGCAGGGTGCTCCTCGGCATGGGCCTCCGCTGCACCGCGGACCGCGCGATGGCACCACCGGGTGCCTCCGCCTGCCACGCCGTACTCAGACCCCCGACGTCGTGATTTGTTTCACACAACGTCGACCCCCAGCAGTTGGCGGCGCGCACAAGGGGGTGGAGGGAGGGGGGAGGGCTTCTTAGAAGGAGGCTGCTTCTTAGAAGGCGCTATTCTCACGTCTGTAGGCAAGGCCCGCGCCTTCTAAGAAGCAGGGGTGCTTCTAAGAAGCCCTCCCCCCTCCCCCCTCCCCCCACCCCCCTCTGCGCGTGGCTGAAGCAGTCTGGACCCTTTCCCCGGGACCGGTTTTTCATCCCGAGTCGTTTTCTGACGGCCCCGAGGCCTGGGAAGGGCCCCCGGAGGCCGAAAATGGCGAACAAAGCCTCCCGTCGCGATTTTTGTTCGCAGCGCGAGGGGGTCTGGGTGTAGGAGCACGAGCCTCCAGTGGCCGCGGATTCCGCCCCCCCCCGCGCCCTGTCGGCGCCCCCTGGCCTTCGGGGGCCACGGCTCGAGCCCTCCCCCTCGGCCGCTCGGGACGACCCGGGCCCCCCCCCCCCCCCCGTGGGCCGCCCCCGGCGAGGCGCAGCTGCTGGGAGCGTGCCCCGAGGCGAGCGGGGACCCCCGAGCTCTGGCGGCAGGCCTCCCGAAAACTGCTCGAGGCGACGACGAAAACTGCTGGGAGCGCGCCCCGAGGCGAGAGGGGACCCCCGAGCTCCGGCGACGGGCCTCCCGAAGACTGCTCGAGGCGACGACGGCGGCCGCGGGGCGGCGAGGCGAGGCGAGGCGAGGGCGCCAGGGCACGGGCACGCCGGGCGTGCCCGTGCCCTCCTTGTGGCAGGGCGCGAGGGGCCGTGGCCTCCGGGCGGCGGCCGCGGGGAGAGCCGGAGGCGTCGAGCTGTGCCGCTGCTCCCCGGCCCTCTCCCGTGGCGCGTGCGGGCCAGGGCTTTCGGGGGGGATCCGGCCGCGGCGGCGCGAGCTCGGAAGGACGAGCCGCGGCATCGGCACCTGCCCCTCCTCTGAAGGACGACGACGACGACGACGACGACGACGACGACGACGACGACGACGACGACGACGACCATGACGGCGACGACGACGGCGGCCACGACGACGACGACGACGACGACGACGACGACGACGACGACGACGACGACGACGACGACGACGACGACGACGACGACGCCGACTGGCCTCGGACTCCCCGCCAATCGACTGGCGCACCACCTCGATCAGCGGCCCGTCCACCCGCCGCCCCTGCACGGACGCCAGCGCCCGGGCCACCGCCGCCTGGCACTCCGCCAGGCTCACGGACACCGGCCCCGCGCCGGGCGGCCGCTCGGGCTCCCCGCGGCCGCACGAGGCGCCCTCTGCCGCCCGGCCGTCGCCCCCGCCGCCGCCGTCCTGCCCCGGAGCCTCCTGCGGGAGAGAGAGCGAACAGCCGAGGCTCCGACGAACTGACCTTTCTTTTCCCCGGGGCGTTCTGCCTCGACCTCGGCGCGGGAGCCCGGATCTCTGACGGCCTGGTGGATGCCCAAGCTCTGAGCAGGGGCCGACCGCCCCGACACTCCTGGCGGGCCTACCACGACGTGCTCGTAGAACCCCAAAAGCACGAAGTGCTCTTAGAACCCCAAAAAGTGCTCGAAAAACAAAAACAGGTGCTCTTAGAACAAACGCCCGACGTGCCCAAACGAGACAGCCCCGGCCAGCAGTGCTCTGAGAACATCTCGCCGAAACCGCCAACGGTTCTCAGAGCATTCCTTGGCAGGCCTTTCTACGCGAGCCCGGACGCTTCGCCACTGCCTGAAACCTGGGCGTGTCTTCAAATAGCTGCGGCCTCCGAGGCCCGCCACCAAGGACCGACGGGGGGGGGGCGTGCAAGCTGGGGGGCGCAAATCATGGCGAGCGGCATGTGCGCGGCTCAAGGGGGGGGGGGGGGGGCAGGGACGTCATGCAATAAGAAGAGGCGCCATGAAATCGGAGGAACTACCACGGCCCACGCCAGGACCTCCACCCACCCCCCTAGTCTCAAGTCGGGCCGGTTCCCCTACATTGGGATTTTGGCTGAAAAATCAAAAATACCCACAACAATACCAAAACAAATGCTCAACAATAGTCAAAACAAATAGTCCCCTGACTATGTTTGACCATTTTTGAACATTCCCCCTGGAGAGGGACAGGCCCGACCTGACCCTGGTCATCACCCACCTCTCTGCCGCCCCCGGATACCTTCGGCCTCTGGGGCCCGCCATCCCGGGCCCCCCGTTGGGACCACTCACGGGTGACAGGCGTCCACGGGCGAGGTGCTGGCACGAAAATCAAAGGGGCGGTGAGAGGACGTCTGGGGCCGCGCACGGTGGGAGAGCAGGTCGTCGGGGATGGACAGAACCCCCTTTCGTAAAACGTGGTTTCGTGAAAACGACCTCGGGCCCAAACCCGGCGGGCGCAGGCCTGGAAAATGACGGCCGCGGCGCGCCCTCGGGAACCGAGGACGGACGATTCACTAGTCGACGTGTCAGGGTGGGGGTTCTGACCACCCCCGAGGTCGGGGGATGTCTGGGACCGGGGAGGCAAAAACGGTATCACTAACACGAGGGCTAGGTCGGGCACGTCCCCCTACGGGCGGATTCTGGACGAAAAAACTATTCGTCAAACAAAAATCGAGATATAATCAAAAATAATCCAAAACCGTCCCCTGACTATTTTTGGACTATTTTTGAAGATTCCTCCTGTAGAGGGACGCGCCCGACTTACCACTAGAGGCATCCTAGATGGGGTCCGAGCAGATGGGCTCCGAAGATCGCGCCGCATCGCCGACGCATCACCGACACGTCGACGATGCATCAGCGATGCCTCGGCGATGCATCGGCGCGGGGAAACACGAAGGGGCCCCAGGACACACAGACAACTACACACAAAGAAAAAGATGCCCCATATGTGTTCCCACATGTTCTGGGTTTCTGCCTTCCCCCCCACTCCCCATAGTTTCCCATACTTTCTCGGGAATCGACGATTAATTGTGTCTGTGTGTTTTTCCCATATTTTCCCATATTTTCCCATATTTTCTCGGGGATCGACGATTACTTGTGTCTGTGTGTTCTTCCCCTCCGGAAACCACGGAAGTCACACCGAGCCGCATCGGCGATGCAGCGCCGACGCGGTGCCGTCCACCGGGCCCCACCTGCTCGGACCCCCACCTGGGAGCCCTGGGGAGGCACGCCGCCGCGCGGCACCGCTCCGCATCGCCGCCTGCCGAGGGAGCACCCGTGCCTGCGGACAGAGGCGCGGGGAGCAGCGCGCTGGCAGGCAGCCCACGGCGGCGCGTCGTGGACCCTGCTCTTCCATGCCGAAGCTGGCCATCGCTCTCGGACGTCCGTTCCCTGTGCTTTTGTCCGGATTCGTGCGTGTTTTGTTCGCCAAATGATCAAGGATGCTCCACGAGAATCCTCGCCGAAGGAAAAGTGCACACGTCCGAGCGATGCCAAGGAAAGCGAGGGGCAACGGTGGGGGGGGGACTGGCTGCAGGGGGGGGTGCACCTCGCCGATGGATCGGCGATGGGACCCTGGCAGTGCATCCGCACCTTCCTGGGCGGGCTGGGGCTATAGCGGGCCCCCATCGGCGATCAACGGGCGATTCGGGGTCGATGCATCTCCCCCCGTGCCTGTCCCCCCCCCTATCTGGGGGAACCAATAGGCACCGAGACCGCCACTCCCCAGACCTCTCCTGGGGTACGTTCTGACCAGGATTTCGAAGCGAATCCAGCGGTGTGGACGAGGACCGCCCAGGAAGCCCAAAAAGGAGAAAACGAGGGGAGGGTAGAGGTATGTGTACCTTTTCCTCCTCTGGCTGTCGTTGTCCCTGGAAGAGAAGCGGCATGCGCACGAACAGTCGGAGGCCCGCGCGACTTCCCCGGGCCGGCGCTGGGACTCCCCATGGCGTGCGCTCCGCGCGCCGGGAAGGGGGAATCCAGCGCC